TTCCTATTCAGGAGTGTGTACTTCAACTATATACATTTACATATACATATACATATACATTTATATACGAGCCCTAACAACAAGCTCACGGCCACACAGAAAGCGTTTTTAGCGTTTTGCGTTTTTTGCGTTTTAAGCTCTTTTTTCGATTTGTGTTCATTAAAAATACCCGAAAGACGCGGCCGCGCCGGTCTGCAGTTTCTATCAATATGTCAATTAGTAACGTCGCAAGCTCGTGGATTCCCGGCCGGTCCAATAATCAATCCTGTGAGAAAGGGATAGGCGAGATCGGCGCCGTTAGCGTTGAAGAGACGAAGATAAAAGATGCTGGGATTGAATTGTGGACGGGCCGGGGCATATATTCGGAGACAAACACAATCTGTTGCTAGTACCAGTGGTGTGTGTAAAAATAATAATTATTATTTGCCATTTATTTTACGAATTTTAGTTTATATGTGTATAGTATTTTTATGTTGTAGTGTTGTGGTTAGTACTTGTTATAATTATAATATAATATAATAAATAATTATAATTATATAATAGAATAGTAAATATCTCTAGTTGCTAATGCAATTTTAGGACATGATTTATGAAACATTTTGGAGTAAAACGCCGTGGTCTTTACGCGCGCTGGGAGTAAAAATTCAAGGCCGTGACATACGAGCTAGTGAGACGGCCCTGACACACGAGCTCGCTGTAACGAAACGTGTTAACGGCTTAGAAATATATAATGAGGCGACTTGTATTTGTGAGCAGTCCACGTGTTTATCAAAAATACTGATATTTTAATACAAATTTTGTAAAAGTGAATCAAACTATTACGCGTAAAAAAACATTTGTTACACGTAAAAACTATTTTTATTATTTTACGCGAATAAAACTGTGACACGTAAAAAACTATTTTTACGCGTATAAAACTATTTGTTACTGGTAGAAACCTATTTTTTACGCGTATAAAACTATTTGTTAAGTGTAAAAAACACTTTTTTACGTGTCAAAAACTTATTGTTTCTGGTAAAAAACTTTTTTACCCCAAAAAAAAAAATTTTTACGTGTAAAAAACTATTTGTTACACGTAAAAAAATTATTTTTTACGCATCAAAAACTTATTGTTCCTGGTAAAAAACCTTTTGTTACGCAAAAAAAATATTTTTTACGTGTAAAAAACTATTTGTTACACGTAAAAAACTATTTTTTACGCGTCAAAAATTTATTGTTTCTAGTAAAAAAACTCTTGTACCCAAAGAAAAAAATTTACGTGTAAAAAAACTATTTGTTACACGTAAAAAACAATTTTTTACGCGTCAAAAACTATTTGTTTCTCTTAAAAAAACCTTTTTTACGCAGAAAAAAAAACACTTTTTGTGCATAAAAAACTATTTTTTTTACGCGTAAGAAAATATTTCTTTAATTTATTACTTTTTCAACATTTCAAACTACACTTTTTCAAACATTTCCTTCAAATTTCCTAAACATTAGATGTTCTTTATAAAAATATTTTTAGATAATACCCTAAAATGAAAAAAAAAATGCATACTATTTAATTTATTTTTATTGTATTAAAATATAATGTCCGCCTATGACGGAGTTTCATCTTAGAAAACGATAAAGACGCCACAGAAAATAAACTGATTTGTTGTCATTTGCGTTTTTTGCGAGACACGCCGAACGTTACACGCTTTTGGTGTGGCCACTCCTATATAATCCTGTTATTTTGTTTTAGTCGCTAAAGACGCTTCACGCTAAAAACGCAAAAAACGCTTTCTGTGTGGCCGTGGGCTAAATGTTCGGACAAACAAAAATTTATTAAAAACCTTTCTTTTAATTAAATGAATTATTTACATTTAAGAAATACATTAAAAATATATTAAAATCTAACATTTCTAATGAGTATTTTAAATAGTTTCTATAAACATTAAAATAAACTGTAGGCCAATAAATAAACAAAAATATTGCACCATATCGTGACAACTAAATGTTCGGTCACTTTAAAAAATAACTGTTCTAATATGGCGTTACATCGGCATGAACTTTTGCAACCACTGCAAGCCTGTTTGGCATTGTTTTTATTAATGATTGACATACGCCAGAGTAAAATTTTGCCATAATTCACTTAATATCAGCGTCAAATGGGCAACGGTTTCTTGGGGATCGTGGCACAATTTTTATTTTGTTTTATGCCATGTACCTATGTCTATGTCTCGATAACATTAAGGTCCGGACTGTGCGAAGGCCATGAGGGGACCTTGATGTGCATGTTTTGCTGGTCTTTACCAGAACAATTGGTTACAAGGACCTTTGTCCTTCCCACTTGACACAAGAATATTTTTCAAAATTTTTTGATTTTTTGACGCATCAATTATGCCTTCTACCTTCTTCTTACGACGCCGTCTCCTTTCGAAGGTTGGCGATCCAAATAGCTAACGTCATTCTAGATACAGCCATACGAAATATGTCGATTGATGGGCAACCAAACCATCTACGAATGTCCTTTAGCCAGGAATTCTGGCGTCTGCCGATAGATCTTTTGCCCTGGACTTTGCCTTCAATTATTAATCTGAGAAGTTCATACTTTTTACCCCTCATTATGTGGCCTATGTAGCGTGTTTATCTTTCTTTGATGGTAAGCATGAGTTCTTTCTGTTTTCTCATTCGATTAAGAACCTCCACATTTGAAACTCTTTGGACCCATGATATTCTTAATATACGGCGGTAAATATACATTTCGAAGGCATCTAGTTTTTTTTCTAACGATATGTCAAGAGTCCAACTCTCACACCCGTACAGGAGAACTGAAAAAATGTAGCATCTGACCATGCGTACCCGTAGCTCCAAACTCAAATCTGACCTTGTGAAAAATTGTCTCATATTTATAAATGTTTTTCTAGCCTGTTCTATGCGGCTTCTAATTTCTTTCTTCGGGTCGCATTGATCATTTACAATACACCCCAAATACTTGTATGAAGACACTTGCTCTACTGGGTCACCGTTGATATCCAGGTGAATCTGCACAGGTGTTTTGGTGAATGCAAGAACCTTCGTTTTTGTGGTATTTATGAGGAGACCGCAGTTTTCACTATGCCGAACTAATTCATTCATTAGCCTCTGCAAATCTTGTTCATTCTCGGCCAGCACAACTGTATCGTCGGCATACCTGATATTATTGATCACTTTCCCGTTAATCTTAATTCCACATTCGATTCCTTCTAGAGCTTCTTTGAAGATAGCCTCTGAATATATATTAAATAAGAGCGGTGACAGCACACAGCCCTGTCTTACACCTCGTTTAATCGTGATTTCTTCTGACGATGTTCCTTCAATTTTAACCACTGCGTTTTGCTGCCAGTAGAGATTTGTAATCAATCGAATTTCTTCTCTATCTATTCCGTTGTTTTGAGGACTTCTATAAGTTTTTGATGGTTAACGCAGTCAAAGGCTTTTCTATAATCTATAAAACAAGCGATTACATTGACATTCATGTCTCTGCAACGCTGAGTGATAACGTTTAATCCGAATAACGCCTCACGAGTACCTAGGCCACTGCGAAATCCAAATTGAGTTTCGTCTAGTTGGTATTCGCATCTTTATTAAATTCTGGTGTGAATTATTCTGAGAAAAAATTTGAGGACATGGGACATCAGACTTATCATGCGGTATTCATCGCAGTTCGAAGCGTGGGTTTTCTTTGGAAGGGTAATAAATGTCGAGCGTAGCCAATCCGTTGGGATAGTCCCTGTACGGTAGATTCTACCGTACAGCCTTCTACCACCTCATACTTTTCTGGGCCTATTTTGGACATACACCTTCAAATCATAATGCTTTTAGGAAATTTCACTGTCCTTTTGAGGCAATCTTTATCAAATAGACACCCTAGCGGTGTTCGATTATATTTATTATATCGATATTAAGTTGGCTCATATGCACATGTAATTCGTGCACTTGCCATTTGCGATTGGAATTATTAGCGTCAGATTGGGAAATAATTAAATATTTTACCTTAATGTCATTTTTGTAGTTTGTGACATCAGAAGTTCCAATCCGACGCTGATAATTCTAATCGCAAACTGCAAGTTCAAGGATTACATCTGCACGCATGCATGATCTTTATGAGAGACGGACAGTGGAATTTCCTAAAGACCTTATGCTTTTAGAGTTTATGTTCGCAATGGGTCTAGGAAGGTATGAGGTGGTAGAAATCACAACTAATGAGTCAAAATATCAAGAAATATTGATAAACACTTTTGTGCGAAGTGCGAGAGACCTTTACCAGGATGTGAATTTTATATTTCAACAGGATGGCGGGGCATGTCATACAAATAAAACTACTAAAAAATGGTTTAGGGACATGAACATCAAGGTCCCCTCATGGCCTTCGCACAGTCCGGACCTTAATGTTATCGAGACATAGACATAGGTACATGGCATAAAACAAAACAAAAATTGTGCCACGATTCCCAAGAAACCGTTGCCCATTTGACGATGATATTCAACGAATTTTGGCAAAAGTTTTACTCTGGCGTATGTCAATCATTAATAAAAACAATGGCAAACAGGCTTGCAGTTGTTGCAAAAGTTCATGCCGATGTAACGCCATATTAGAACAGTTATTTTTTAGTGTCCGAATATTTAGTTGTCACGATATTGTGCAATACTTTTGTTTATTTATTGGCCTACACTTTATTTTAATTTTTGTAGAAACTAAACTATTTAAATACTCATTAGAAATGTTAGATTTTAATATATTTTTAATGTATTTCTTAAATGTAAATAATTCAGTTAATGAAAATAAAGGTTTTTAATAAATTTTTGTTTGTCCGAACATTTAGTTGTTAGGGCTCGTATTATATTTTGTGCTTTTTGATAACAATGATTACGTTATATGATTAACGATTTACGTTATATTTTGTTCAAGATATTCTGTTTTTAAGAAATGGAAAAGGAATTTCTAGATAGGTCTTTTAAAATTAAAGGAGGAACTAATTAAATATATTTTATATTTTTCATTGTGATTTGTCGTTAATTATATCTATTATGTATTTTGTAAAATAAGACACCTTGGTGAATACTGCCGGCTTTCCAATAGAGGCACAAATGTCACCTCCCCACGATGTAATTCCAATCAGAACGCCATCAGTGTCTACCAATGGTCCACCAGAGTCCCCCTGAAAAAATATTATTTATTGCCTCAGAATATGGTACACAAACAATCAGTATATCTAATAGTTTACGAAATATTAGTATATTAAAAAATTATTTACAAAAAATAACTATTTTATTGTGTAGATTTTCTTACAGTTGCGAAATACCCATAATACTTTTTATTTTTTAAATTAATCAATTTAATTTTTTTTTAGAAAAAAATATGACAAAATAGTTTCTGTTGAACCTTTGGCTTTGTCAGTCTAACAAACTATCTGTCAGCATGGTCAATTTTTGTCTATGATGACATGTATTGATTATTTAGATTCCTATACAGGGTGTCCTAGAAATAAGCGCAAGTATTTTAACTGGTAGTATATTTCGGCCGTGCAAAAAAAAAAATAAAATTTGGAATTTTTTGAAAAAAGTTTTAGACATTTTTTTTAGTTTTAAGTTAAAAAACATAATTTCTTGGTAATATGTCAGCATACTAGATTAAATTTACATGAAAGACAATCCAGAAAAGATCCAGTGGTTCTCAAAATTTAGGCAAAAAAGCATTTTTTGTTTAAATTTTCAAAATTAAATAACTCGGTTATTTTGGACTTACTTGAAAAACGGTAAAGAGAAAAAATATTTCTTTTGACCAGATCTACCACCCCTTAAAATACTTGCTGTTATTTCTGGGACACCCGGTATAATATCCGAGAATCTCGTAGTGATTTTTATCGAGCCCTTTTTTATGTAAAAAATGTCGTAAATGTATATTTTTTTGGGTTAGTAACCTTATACAGGTACGGAAGAAAAGTTATTTTTTTTCAAACCAGTTAAAAAATCTGTAGGTGGCGCCCACTATAAATAGGAGTCAAAAAACTCCCAGACGCCAATTTTCCAATTCCAATTTCAAATATCGATATTAGATAGTTCAGAAATTGGACTTCTTTAAGAACATCCATCGGACCGGCGAGATCCCCAATGTTTTCAGACATTCGAAGATCCTTGCCATACTTAAACCAGGAAAACCGGCTGACGTCTCTTCAAGCTATAGACCCATTGCATTACTTAGCATAACCTATAAATTGCTGGAGAGACTACTTTATAACAGAATCTCGCCATCAGTCCAAGACGTTCTTATCCAACAACAGGCAGGTTTCAGAGCCAAGCGCAACTGCACTGATCAAGTTCTTGCTCTTTCCACTTTCATCGAAGCAGGTTTCCAGACGGGAATGAAAACTGCATGCGCATTCGTTGATTTATCATCAGCCTGCGACACAGTGTGGAGAAAGGGTATGATGTACAAGCTCCAACAAATAATTCCCTGCAGAAAGATCGCAAACCTCATACAGAACATGCTGAGCAACAGAAGAATAACAGTACATCTGAACGATAAAACTAGCTCCCCTCGCACATTTAATAATGGTCTCCCACAGGGGTCAGTACTCGCTCTACTTCTTTTCAACGTATATACAAATGACGTCCCGCCAACTACGGCTAATAAATTTATATACGCAGATGACATGGCCCTGGCTACACAACATCAGTCCGTGGAAACAGGCGGCAACCAGCTTACGCGAGATCTTGAAATATATGCATGCATATTACAAGACATGGTGCCTTAAGCCCAACCCACTAAAATCGAAAACCGGGGCATTTCACTTGTCGAATAGGTTAGCTAAAGAGGAACTGAACGTATATTTTGGGGGAGAAAGAATTAGACACAACCAATGCCCAACATATCTGGGTGTCACGTTGGACAGGACTTTATCCTATAATCAGCACATTACAAAAACCGCACAGATAATTAAATCCAGAAATAATATCTTGAGTAAACTCGCAGGAACTTTGTGGGGTGCGGATGGAAACACACTCAGAACTGTGCCCACCGGTATGGTACAAAAGTCACCACACGTATAAAATCGACGTGCAGCTCAATGAAGCTATGAGAGTTGTAACTGGCACATTAAGATCAACCCCAACAGTATGGCTTCCGATCCTGGCGAATACTGCCCCCCCCCTCAAATTCGCAGAACAGCTATGGCACAAAAGGAGTGGATGAAGGCTTCCACCCAAGACGGCCTACCTATTCAACTGTCTATCAAGCTTGTGGCTGGCAGTCCTGGAACACGCAACTTAAACTTAGTTGCCGATGTATCGGGTGCCCTCCCGGGTATGGACCTTCCTCGTCATACCTGGAGTCGCCTAAATCGTTTTAGGGTGGGTCATGGCAGATGCCGTGATATGCTTCATAAATGAGGAATTGAAGACTCACCAGCGTGCGACTGTGGCGCTCCACGACAACCGATGGACCGAATGTCCACCCAGAGCCTTTCCTGGGGGCATCCAGAACTTATTTTGCGCTACTTCTTCGGCAATTGACTGGATAAATGACCTCAATATAAATGTTTAATGTAAATTTTATCCCTGACTACATATATGTTTTATATATACTTGTAATATTTTTTAAGTCCTTATATTTCTCATGCATGTTTTCTTTTTTCTTTTACAACTATTTGTTTGTTTATATATGCTTATCTCTGTGCATGTTTATAGAATGTATTCACATATCCTGTATTTGTGCTTCTCATACAAAATATATATATATATATATATATATATATATATATATATATATATATATATATATATATATATATATATATATATATATATATATATATATATATATATATAGTTCAGAAATTATTTGGAATAAATCGAAATAAAAATGAATCTTTATCTCCGAAACGAAGTATTTTAGGACATACATTTATACGAACATTTTTTACTTATTTTTATCGCAAAATAAAAACACTAAATCACCACAATACACCAAAACACTTTTACTTTTACACTGGACGCGCGTTTCGCTAACCATGTTAGCATCATCAGCAGATGATTATAAACTGACAGACTGACTGACTTAGTTTATAATCATCTGCTGATGATGCTAACATGGTTAGCGAAACGCGCGTCCAGTGTAAAAGTAAAAGTGTTTTGGTGTATTGTGGTGATTTAGTGTTTTTATTTTGCTGTTTAACACCAAAGGTTCCAACCCTCAACTGTAATAATTATTTTTATCGGTAGAATATGCTAGCGACGATTCCCGAATACAATTGGGACCACCCTGTATAATTTATACTTCTATTTTTCAATTGATTTTATCGATATAAATAATAAAACAGCCTAGTGCTCACCGAACAAGTATCTTTTCCACCTTCCTCATATCCAGCACAGAACATTGTATCTGTTATGTAATTTCCATAGTATCTTCTGCAAGCAGCAGTTCCTATTAGAGGCAGCTTTACAACCTGAATGAGCAAACAATTATTAATATTTAACGATTAAGAGTATCACTATGTGAACATAAGACACGAACTAACCACTATGTGACACCACAGCTTATTCAGTACCAGCTGGTCACCTTTGCTTGTTTTTCAGTATTTAAGTAACTGTTCCCTAAATGTGACAAAACTTTTCTCACTGCGGAATATCTAGATAGGTACGTAGAGTTCCGTGCAAATGATCGTACGGTGGCAGGCTGGTTATGATTAGACTGTGGTGATACGGATATCAAACTCAGATATTTATTTTAAAGTTAAATATCTAAAGAATTTTAGTAACTTACTTGTAAAATTGTCGGAAGTGTATCGTCATGAGGGTCGGTCATTCCCCAACCTGTTGCTGTTGACATTTCGGTTTGCGTGATTTCTTCACCAGGTCTAGGTAGTTTTATGGGTGAGACTTTTTCATTAAAATCCTATAAATAATATATAATTACTGTTCTATTAGTATACAGGGTGGCGCCTCTTATACGACGCGGAGGCACCAAGGAGAACGAGAGCTTGTATTGAAATGAAGTTTTGTAGAGTATATATGTAGGTTAGTTTAGAGCATTTTTTTTAAATATAGAAAGATCTACAGGGTTTCCCCAAAAAAGTTACACTCTCAAGTTGTATTTTTTTTTTCTAATGGAACACCCTATACCGAGTGTGTCTCAAAAGTGGCTCACTCCTATAACTTTTTTATTTTTTCATGTAAAACAACGAGATTTGGTATGTTAGTATATGAAATAAATCTGGATTGATTGACAATTGTTTCCGGTTTCACCGGAAATGACTACAACTTTTGATTTTTAAATAGCACCCTCGGTATTTTTTACTTTATTCGATAGAAAATGACTCTCTGAATAGAATGACATATCATATGTCAACTTTTGACATTTTCGCATATGGTTTATTTGAAATTGTAACCTGCGGTTCATAACGACAATTTGATACCAAGATTAACAATTGACAATACCAAGTGTGTGGTATCAAATTATTCGTAAAAAATGCTTTTTCCAAATATACTAATAAGCCACCGTCGTTCCATTTGAAAAAATTGAGATATGATTAAAAATACGATTTGGACATCTTTTAACCGGCCAGGACAAGACACTAAAAACATTAGACGATTAAATCTATTTTTCCAATGTTCCTTGATTAAAAATTAGCGTTTTTAACACAGCTTTTTAACTACAACCTACACTCTAGATTGAAATTTAAACTGCAATTTGTTTTTGAGCGAATATGTCAAAAGTTGACATATGATATGTCATCCGATTCAGAATGTCATTTTCTATCGAATAAAGTAAAAAAGTACCGAGGATGCCATTTAAAAATCAAAAGTTGTAGTCATTTCCGGTGAAACAGGAAGTGACCGAAAACAATTGAATAGGAATCAATCCTAATTTATGTCATATACTAACATACTAAATCTCGTTTTTTTATCTGAAAAAATAAAAAAGTTATAGGGGTAAGCCACTTTTGAGACGCACCCGGTACATTAATTGATTTTTTTTTTGATAATTGCTTATAATATAAGCCATAGACTTAACACAATTATTAATATTTAATATATTAATAATTATAAACTTACCAAGTGGTTAAATAACTCTAAAATTGCAATGTCGGAATCAAATGTGTCATAGATAAACTCATTTTCTGGATAAATAATTCTTCTAACTGCTTCGGTTTGTCCGCCATTTGCTGTTCGATCAGTGATACCCGCTTTTATTAATAACTGATCAGGGTAAATACTGCAAATAAAAAAATAACAATAACAGTAATGATAAGACATCAATATATCAAAAGAATTCTAAAATCAACCGATTTTTCTAAACATCGCCAATTTAAAAAAGTAAACACCTTCCTATTTTTTTATTCTGATGGAATTTTTCTAGAATACTTAGCATTAGGGCAGAGTGAAGCTTAAATTTTACATTAGTGTTTTAACGGTAACACTCGCAAAATCTCATTCGGTTAAGAGTTCATTAAAACTTCGTAACTAGACAAGTTTGTGACCCTTGCGTTCTTGCTCGTATTCTGCTGGTCTTGTTCTAATTAATTTTTTTCATTACGAAGCCTCAAATTACAATAAAATATGAAAAAGGAATGGTAACGCGTTTAAATTATATTCATATATTATTTAATTATAATATTATTAAATTATATTAGTTAAATTAGTTAAAAACTACTTTCAATTTTTATTACAATAAATTTGAAATCTGTGATGCTTTGATAATTCAAAATGCCTAAACAATTGCCACACCCCTAATAATATAGTAATAATAACTAATAATAATAATATTTAATAACAACAAACAAATGTAAAACACTACACATAAACAGAGGTAAATGGCAAAACGAAGAGCAGGCATCTACATTAAAGAATGAACACTTAGACAACATGCAACCCAACAAATATTACAAATACTTGGGAATTTTACAAAACAGAAAAGTTGACCATACCGCACTCAAAACCCAACTAAAAGAACAATACAGGAAAAGACTAAGTAAAATACTGAAAACCGAACTAAATTCAAAAAACACAGTTAGAGCGATTAACACCTACGTCATACCGCTGCTCACCTATTCATTTGGAATCATTAAATGGTCCAAAACAGATCTGAAAAATTTAAATATTCTGACAAGAACTCAGCTAACTAGATTCCGACAGCTGCATCCCAACTCTTGCAAGGAGAGGCTGACCATTGAAAGAAAAGAAGGAGGTAGGGGCCTGACAGATATTCACGAAATACACAACAAACAGATTAATTCACTAAGAAAGTGAAACAATAGAGCATATTACAAATGATGGTAAAATACTCACTGGTACACAATACACTCTAAGGCATGACTTTGTTGCGCGTATTATACATCAAGAAATAGCAAAAACATATAAATTTATACAAGAAGAACAGCCCTATTACAAATACACGTCGCAATCTGTCTTTGAAAACGACACTATAAAACTCTACTGGGACAGAACGATCCATACTGACAAGACAGTAACATGCAATAGACCTGATATAACGTTAACACTAAAAAAAGAGAAAGTAACATATCTAATAGAAATCAGTGTTCCGAATGACAACAACATAACAAAGAAATATGAAGAAAAAATTAGCAAATACATTCCACTAACACAGGAAGTAGAACGAGGCAACAAAAAGAAGTCTTATTAAGACTTTAACACCCTGTAGCTACGAAACATAGCAGAATCGGACCTATGTTGATATGAAAAATAAACCTTATTTTTACGTGAGGAATCTCCCCACGAGAGATGGCGCATGTTTTTTAAACACCCTGTATACATATTTCAAGAATACATTTTTATTTAATATTGTAAAGCAATACAACAGAAGAAAAATTAACTTATTTAATTAACTAACAATAATTAAATTATTTTATTGTGTTAAACACAATAAAATACTAAAAATTATATTTAACCTAGATAGAACTACACAAAATTAAAGAGAAATAAGTTAAAAAAATCAATTATTACTTTGAAAATTATAAATTAAGACACAAATACACACTTACGAATCTAGAGGAAAATCAGACATCAGAACAGCAAAGATAATTGAAAAAAAGTTTCACAAAAACTAACAGATACTACCACAAAATATAATATGGTATCCAGAGAAATAACACAATTAAATTATAAGAACTTTAAGAAGACAATTAAAAACGTGATATTTAAGAGAGTAATATAAACGTAGACGATATCGATCAACTTATAAAAAAAACTACGCCATCTGAGCTCCTAAAGGGGTAAAGTTAGGGATAAAAGTTTACATAAAAATTTATTAAAATTTGTGCTAGGAGTATGAAATTTTGTACAGAGATTCTTTAGGTGACGTAATGGGAAAACCACGAAGCGATTTTTGGAAATTCGTCCCCTAAGGAGGTGAAATGAAGAGTAAATTTTGTATAAAAAAATAAAATCTGTCCTAGGAGTATGAAATTTTGCACACAAGTGGAGTAATTGAATACTAAGAAAGTATTTTTGAAAGTTCTTTCTCTAAGAAGGTATAATTAGGGGTGAAAGTTAGTACAAAAAATTGTTCAAATTGTCTTTGGAAGTATAAAATTTTGCATAGAGGTTTATTAGAAGACGTAATTGTTCTGGAAATTCGCACCATAAGGGGATGAAATGACTTACTTACAACTTACTTGAATATACAATGTGCTGCTGTTAAAATAAAATTGCTCTTTATTATAGATCCTCCACATTTCGGTTGGCCATCTATCAGCAGTAGTATTTGATACGGATGATCCACTATATTAGCTGGACTGCTACCTGTTTTCAATTGCTCTTTTGTTTTGGAATAATAACTCACCCATGCTTTATGTTTCGGCTTAGAACAACCTAAAATTATTTATTATTTTAAGTTGCCGACAGTTTGAAAGTATTCTATTTAAACCGTATTTTGAAGAAAAAAGAAAAGAAAAAACTTACAAAAATCGATTATAAAAATTAAAAGAATGTACTTAATGGCAAACCACATTTGTACAGACTTGAGCTGATTAATTTATTATTAGACTGTGTGTAGATTATGTAATTTACTAATTAGATGCCTTAATTAATAATAAAGACCATAAAACTTTTTCGATGGCTATATAGGCGACTGTGTAAATAAATTTGGGGTTTATCTTTCGTATTACGTTTGTTCTTATTTATGAAAACAATACACGATCAGTAGGAATCACGAATCATTGAAGCGCATGAATGAATAAAAGTATGTGGGATTATTTGGCCTATACGGATATTTAATAAACCCTAAAATAAGCAGTATTCACTAATTTAACACATTCAAACAATTATAATGATTAAATTGAAGTTGAATTCTTTCAAAATGTAGTTTATTTTAGATGTTTCTTAAATTTTAAGACCAAATTTCCATATTTTTTGTTTGGGACACTCTGTAATATAATTCCATAATCATTGGTGCAGTAAAACAGAAAAATACGTTAATTTGTTGTTTAGTTAACAAGGTTTATCTGTCATGGTTTTGTTAACCTATTAAAAAATGGATGTTATTGTTTTGTCGTCATTAATTCCTACACAAGTTTTCCAAAAAAAAAATACAAATCGCCTACATAGTGGCGTAACTAAAGATAATTGTTAAAAATACACACATTGCATATAACGATATTTTTATTTTATTTTGGACCTAATATGATTCTTTCTTATATTTTTGGACATAATGGCTTACTACACGACTAACTAATAATATAAAATTAAAAATCTAAGTGCAAATAGGCTGTTATTATAATTTTATTTCATAATGAGTGAAAATCAACAAAAACAAATTTCATTTTAAACAGAAAATATTGAAAACAATTTTAATTATTTCTCACAACTAATAGTCTGTATTGCCTCCTCCAGCCTCAATGCAAGCTGTGAGACGACGTGACATGCTCTCAATTAAGTTTTCCAGAAGATGTTTGGTTTGGTTTGGTTTGGTTGAGGAATGGCTTCCCATGTTTCGCGGGCAATTCATTTAAGGTACTGGTGATCATTCCTTTTGGCAATATGGCGTTTTAGCATGTCCCAAGCATGCTCGATCACATTCATATCTGGAGACATCGGTGGCCACCACAGTTTTCCTTATACCCCCTTCCTCAGGGAGGAGCATTATCGTCCATGTAAACAAATTCGTCCCCCACTGCCCCTCGAAATGGACGCACAAAACGTCTCTAAGATATGAGGCACCTGTCATTGTGCCATCAATAAAAACATGAGGAGTTCGAGCTCCGTGCATTATATCTGCCCATACCATAATGCTTCCCCCTTGAAACGGGACACGGGGTTGAGCTGCATTCAAGCGTGCTCGTCTTCCAGATGCTCTCCATCAGACCAAAGTTCGTCGCGAGTCTGACACTAGGCCTATTCTTGTTACATCACTAAACATGACTAAATTCCAATTTCATTTGTTCTCATCTCCTCAGCCCATTGTAGTCGCGTAATTTTGAGCTGTAAATTAAGCTTCGGAACACGTAGAGGCCTCCTTAAATGTAATCCTCTGTCATTATAGAGTCATAGAGTCTTTTTGCTATGGTCTTTCTTGAAACATTTACTCCTTCAAGGCGAGCTAACTCATTTTAATAGCAGTACTAGAAACCAGGGGATTGCGTCGTGCAATTAGGGATATTTGACGGTCTTGCACAGTAGTAGTAACACCCTTTCTATCTCTTCCAGGCCGGTCTGTGACCTTGTTTGTCTCCCTGATTTTTTTTAATATTCGCAAAACATCGCTTTGGTTAACTCCTACAATTTCAGCTATTGCAACTTGCCGGTAGCCCTGTGGAGACAGTGTTACTATTCTGACTCTATTAAACTGTGAAATAATGTTTCTAAGCATTTTAAGGTCAAAACAATGGTCAAATTTCTTCTGAAACCCAAGAGACCAGAAATCGAAATGTGCAAGAATTTGTAATAACGTAGGGTCTGAACGATAAACATTGTTTACCATATCCATTTTAACAAAAAACTGTTTATTATAGATTATCAAAGCTATGTATAAAAAAATATTCTTTAAATTCCTTTCCGTATATTTTAAAACGATATATGCAATAATTTTGGCCATGTGTATATATTGATAATTAGATAAATACTCGGATAAATATTATCAAATGACATTTAAAAACCAAACAAAAACACCAATACCTTATTTCGACTTCAACCTAATTGTTTACAGGTCTCGGAATAAGAATATACATTACAGTAAGAACCCAATTTTCAAGTCGCAATCTCGTTCTAAAGACAGTTATTAGACGTACCGAATGTTGTTGGAAAAGCTGTGGAAATAGGACACGAGAAACCGATTAGACTTCTTTGATTTTAGTCTTTTTTACCATGCCTTGGCCCATTACGACTGATAAGTTCCATCAGCTTCTTTCATTGTCGGTTCTAACGAAATTCGACATTTAGAGTTAGCGAACAGGAATCGTCATAGTAACACAGCTTATTCAGTACCAGCTGGTCATTTTCGCTTGGTTTTGAGCATTCACGTCTTGCCAGGTGCGCTTATTCTCATACACATACTAACAGTCAGAACACCATTTCCGAGCTGGTTTTTAAAGGAAGTTTCAATGAAGCTCAAAATCTGACTTGTTACATGAGCCCAAGATGCTCTAAATGGGGATTTATTTCAACATGGGGGCCTGACGTATATTCTTTTACTTGTGGGGGAAGCGTGTACAGTTTTTTAAATAATGTAAAAAAAAGTAACAGATCAAGATCTATTTCTTGATACAAAGAACCGCACTTTTGCCAGGCATTATTGACATAAAGTGCATTCTGTTGTTTTTTCTTGCCATTAACAAAATATGCACATGGTTTCTCTCTGTAACCACATCAGCTTTAGATCGTTAGATGCCTATTAAGCTTCTCTTCATATCTCCTGTTACTCACCCTATATAAAGTTGGCATATGGGCGATGTGAGAACAGGTGAGAATCGTGGCTGTAGCTCAGAAATATAGGGGTATGGATAATGAACTTATAATATAGCTATGCTAGGTCTACAGGGGCAATCGCAATAACTAATAATAACAGTTAATAACTCCTAATTTGTTTGAGTTTAATTTCCGTTTTTTCCTATTATTATTAATTTCCGAAAAAAATAAAAATGTAAAATCGAAAATTGTTGATCTGAATAAAACTGCACGAGGAAGAAAAATCTTATTTTATAGAGACGTAACGTAACAAACTTTAGAAGGCAACACACATGAAAGATCTTCCCTTTATCCCGCCTATATACCATACTTTTTATAACAATCTAAGAAAACACTATTAACAGACAATCAGAAGTCAACAAATCCCTTAATGACGAAGAAGAATGTACCGATGAACCAATTTATATCTAAAATTTCAAATATTTTCAGAGATAAAATGGTCCAAGTCCAAGAAAGTACAAATAAACATTCTTAAAAATGGTCACAGTTGTGTTTTGAGTTACTTTAGTTTCTAATTATACAGTTTAAAATATAATAAAGCATTGTGTCGAGTTTTCTTCTCTAGCTTGTTTTATTTTAATTAAGTAAAATTAAAAAACTTTAACTCTCATTTTCTCCATAATTATCTTTTAGGACTTGATGCAGTTCACTTCTGAACTCCTCAAATATGACTCTAGGTCTGGAAACTCGTCAGTTGTGCTCTAGATTTCCAGAGCGTGCTGTGATCGAAACCATAGCAACCCGGAAATACGAAGCGCGAATTTGCGTCGCTCGGTCGTGGACTGAGCGAGATAGAGGCCGAGTGCGTCGTTTTTCGTGACGGTCTGCCCCCCTCGTATGCGACAGTCGCACGGCCAGGAAAGAATAATGAGGAAAATCATAATTAGCTCTGGGAGGTAGCTGGATTTAAAGTGTAACGACATTTTGACGTATAATTTCATATAATGTCAGTCTGTGTATTCCGTTTCTATGTATATAAATATTTATTTTTCCTTTACAAAACTGGAAAGTACAAAAAATATTTTCCTAAAATTTTAGAATTAATTGAGATGATAGATGAAAATAATATCCAAATTACTGTAAAACGGGTTACCTAACTTCGACAGCGGGGGTAACTTCGACATGTATATTATAATGCTTTTTTTCAGGTTTTTCTTTGTGCTCTGTATGCAAATGTTCTTACGTAGATTACACTGACAACAATGACTGGATTTGTTGCGTCTCTTGTTTAAAGTGGGTATGCGGTATTTGCAACTGTGGCTCCAAGAACCCTCAATATGAATGTCCTTCGTGCAATTTATGTTCCATTTGTTTAATGCAGTACTCCGAGTACACAAATAGAAAGGCGTGGATCAAGTGTGTCACCTGTGGAAAGTGGGTTTGTGGATATTGCAACGGTGGTTCCAAACAAGTGAGATACGAATGTCCTCCATCTTTCAGCGATGATTAGAATTTCGTTCCTAGGGTTTGCTTTGTTTTTTATGTTTTAAACTTGTTTTAAATGTTGTGTATTTATGTTTTTTACTTTGTTCAATGAGTTTTAGTTAAGTTAAAATAAAGTCTTTAGTCTTTAGTTCTGTTAGTTCAGATGCAAAATGTGCTAGGTAGGTATATCATGCAAAGTTTCTGAAAATAGATGACTGTATTTTTTTGTTTCGTTTGTCTAATTTAGGCCTATAAACTATTCCCTAATGTTTCTAGTTAATAATTCATAATGAATTTTCTTTTTTTTGCTGTCGAAGTTGCACCGGAGACATCCAATTTCGACTTCATGTAGAATTAAGCATGGTGTCGAAGTTACCCCAGATGCGGGGTAACTTCGACACCAAAAAAATAAAATAAAAAAAAGTAGAAGGAGAGCTGGGGGGGGGCAGTTGTTTGTTCGGCTATGCAGAACAAAGGCTTCAATTGTTACGACGACACATAAGTCACGGTTCTCAATACAATAGTTTTCTTCACAGGGCACGAAATACAGCTGAAACCTGTCGAAGTTACCCCGTTTTACGGTACCATTGTAATTTTCTCTCGGTTACGTAACGGTACGGTTAATTTTTCAATCAGACATTTCGAATTGCAGACACCATCATCAACTTTTTTTCTAGATTTTTTCATCTATTGGAAACACTTCATTTGAAAGCGGTCAATGTTACACCTGATCGAAAGGTTGTAGGAATAAATACACACAATAGAAGTTCAAAATTGTCTCAGTCTCGAGCTCGATATTATGTAGCCATATCTATACTAATATAGGCTAATATATAAAATCCTTAAGGGACTGATTCACTGATTAATCACGATCCTGCTCAAACCATTCAACATAAAAAGCTCAATTTTGGCATCCAGGTTGATTCTAGGGTGTAGAGGTTCGATAAGAAGTGATTTTTCGAAATTCCAGTTCCAAGGGGGTGAAACCACCCCTCAAATATTACAATATTTTTTATTTAAAAAACGGTCAAGTTTCCGAAAAAACGCTTAAATACGTACATTTTGTTTTGTTGTAAGTTTTTTACATATTTTAAGATTTTTTAAAAATGTATACAGGGTGTTTTGAAAAATCTGGTCATAGATTAATCACGGTCATAGATTAATCTCTGCTTAAAGCGCTTGACGTAAAAAGCTGAGTTTTCGAAAACGGATTAACTTTAGGGTGTAGAAGTTCGATAAGAAGAAATGAGAAGTTCGATAAGAAGTGAGTTTTTCGGAAAAACTCTTAAACACGTATATTTTATTTTATTGTTACATATTTTAAGATTTTTTAAAAATTTATACAGGGTGTTTCATAAAATATGACCATTGAGTAATCACGATTCTGCTTAAACTGCTTGACGTTTAAAGCTGATTTTTGGCAAACGGATTGACTGTGGGGTGTAAGAGGTTCGATAAGAAGGGGTTTCTCGATTGTTTTTTCTCATGCTGACATAAATGTGAGAACATTTTATCCAGTTTGTATGTTAATGGAAATTATTTCTTTGCTTTATCATCACCATTACAAATGATTAATTCGACGCGAATTAAGTCGCGGGTACACGCTAGTAGTAAAATAAAAAAATACTAAAAAAAGAAAAAAATTTGTTTTAATATTGATAAATTATACGAGGGGTCTGCATTATAGAATAATTTAACTATGGTCACCACAAATATCCATGTTTTGTGGTAAATTTGTTGCGAAACATCCCTTAGAGGAATGTTTAATTTGCTCAAAGGGCGGATTAGCCGGAACCAGCTTACGGAATAAATTAAAATTGAGTACATTTCTTGAGGGAGCAATGCTGTTTGAATTTATAATTCTCGTTAACAAAATACAACGTTTGCACTAAATAACGAAAGACGAGAGTTCTGTTTTCTTATACAGGGTATTCCAATATTCCTTGGACATAGAACTACTACGTATATTTGGAATCAAAATAAACTCATTGGACACAATTTATCTCTTTGCAAAAGTGCTTAATTTGTCCGCTAGAGGGCATCAAACTTTAATAATAAAATAAACACATTTTTTCGGTTATTTAAAGAACCGTTATTCCGATTTGAATGAGATTATAGGTGACTATGTTTTGCTAATTATATTACTTGAAGAAAAAGTACAGGAAGGGTGAAAACTTCCCCCCCTTACAGAAATTTTAGTGTAAATATTATCCAACTTCACTGCTGACAAATTTTTAATTTCGTAAAATGGTCCCTCTAGTATTTACATTTTTGTCTCTTGTAAAAAAACGCCACATTGCATAGTTTTTGAGATTTTTTTTGGAGAAATTATTATTCTAGCAGACCTACAAAATATACAGGAAGTTCCAATATTCTGTAGATATAGAAGAACTACGTATTTTTTTTAATCAAAATAAGTTAATTGCACATAATTTACCTTTATATAAAAGTGCTTTGTTTGTTCGTTTACAGCATCAATAAAAAATAAACCCGAAAGTTAATTAATTTAAAATTTATTAATTTTTTTAAGCTCTTTATAAAGCTTATTGTTAAATGTAATTTGTGACACTAACATAAAATTCCATATTTTGGCCAACTAGACTTTTAGAGCATAATAGATTTTATCCTTGATTTTATGCTCCTTCGTTACTTGAAGTGACAAAAAACATTTTTTGGAAATCAGCTTCGGAAAAATATGTTTTTCCTCAAGAAGTATGCGCGTTGACGTTTTTTACAAGAGACAAAAATGTAGTCAATACTAGAAGGACCATTTTACGGAAAAAAATCGGTCGTTGGTTAAGTTTAAAAATATTTATACTAAATTTTTTGTAGGGGTGGAGGTAGTTTTTATCCTTCCCGTACTTTTTCTTCATTTTTAAAGTCAAATGTTAAAGCATTTAATCATAGACACCCAAAATTTCATTCAAATCGGAATAACGGTTCTTAAAATATCTCAAAAAAATGGGTTTATTTTAAAGTTTGATGCCCTCTAACGGACAACCGAAGCACATTTATACAGAGGTAAATTGTGCCCAATAAACTTATTTTGATTCCAAAAATACGTAGTAGTTTTATGTCTACGGAAAATTGGGACACCCTGTATATATTTTTACAAACAGTTCGTGTTCAAAGAGATTAAACCTAGAGTTTGGATTTTTTTTTAATTCAATAAAAATCATAATCTAATAAATAAGGTCTTATAGTCTAAGAGCTAGCAACGTTTTCGAGAAAGTATTTTAAGACGTCTGGCTCTTTGATATATCTTTTACTATGCTCTCTGGAATAGCATGCGGCCCGTCTGGCTGTCGATACCCGTTGGGATTACTACTGCGCATCGGAAGAAGATCCTATGTTTTTTATTAATTTAGTCCTATAAATTCTAGTATTGAATATAAATCGAACATGTCTCCATAGCGCAGTGCGTAGAGTTTCCGACCACGAACCGACGATTCAGAGTTCGAATCCGGATCAGGTCAAAGACTTTTTTATTTTATTTTCGTTTATATTCTGATCGTATTATTAAGTATTAAATAATTCTGGTAATTAAAAAAAACAAATATTTAATACTTTAATATCAGAATATAAACGAAAATAAAATAAAAAAGTCTTTGACCTGACCTGGATTCGAACTCTGAATCATCTGTTCGTGGTCGGAAACTCTACGCACTGCGCTATGGAGACATGTTCGATTTATATTCAATACTAGAATTTAAAGGACTAATAAAAATAGAGGATCTTCTTTCAATGCGCAGTAGGAAACGCAACGTTTACCGGCAGCCAGACGGGCCGCATGCTGTTCTAGAGAGCATAGTAAAAGATATATCAAAGAGCCAGACGTCTTAAAATACTTGTTTTTTCGACGTTGCTAGCTCTCGTACTTAGATTAGTCTGTATTTTTTTGTTATTTCATTATTTCATAGACTTCTGTTAAAATCCCCAATTAATGATTGTTGTCTCGAAGCACTCAGTGATGAGGTGTTTTGACAGACAGACAGACAGACAGACAGACAGACAGACAGACAGACAGACAGACAGACAGACAGACAGACAGACAGACAGACAGACAGACAGACAGACAGACAGACAGACAGACAGACAGACAGACAGACAGACAGACAGACAGACAGACAGACAGACAGACAGACAGACAGACAGACAGACAGACAGACAGACAGACAGACAGACAGACAGACAGACGGACAGACAGACAGACAGACAGACGAACAGACGAACGCAGACAGACAGACAGACAGACGAACAGACAGACAGACAGACAGACAGACAGACAGACAGACAGACAGACAGACAGACAGACAGACAGACAGACAGACAGACAGACAGACAGACAGTAACAGACAGACAGACAGACAGACAGACAGACAGACAGACAGACAGACAGACAGACAGACAGACAGACAGACAGACAGACAGACAGACAGACAGACAGACAGACAGACAGACAGAGACAGACAGACAGACAGACAGACAGACAGACAGACAGACAGACAGACAGACAGACAGACAGACAGACAGACAGACAGACAGACAGAGACAGACAGACAGACAGACAGACGAACAGACAGACAGACAGACAGACAGACAGACAGACAGACAGACAGACAGACAGACAGACAGACAGACAGACAGACAGACAGACAGACAGACAGACAGACAGACAGACAGACAGACAGACAGACAGACAGACAGACAGACAGACAGACAGACAACATCAAAATATTTTGTATTTAGGTCATTTATGACCCAAATAACTCATTTTGAGTGAAATTAAAAAAAAAAATGCCGATCTTAATAGCCTACTATACCTATTGGTATGGTCGGCTAATAAATAAAATAAGCGCGCTAAATGAAGTAAAATTCAGCCTCTGGGCTTTAGTAAATTTGAGCAGTGATAGGTCTTTGTATTCACAGTAAGAGAAAAAAAATCTCCATCGGTGAAGTATAATGTCTATAGAAATAGATTACGAAATAAAGCTTTTGCAATTCAAAATCATAATAACGTTTTAACTGTTAATAGTTTACTTTAGCTATACCACATAGCCTCTCAACTCAGCTCAGCCAATCTCATCCCGACTGCTACATACGCTCACCCTCCCCGAGCGTCTCCCAGCGTCGCGGCGTCGACCCGAAACCTGGCCGAAAAGAAGAACAACAAAGTCAACACACCCTGCGAGCAGCTAGCGCCGGCACCAGCAGCAGCAGCAGCAGGCTACAACGCATTGCACGACGCTCTCGATCGCGGGTGGCTGTGTTCGCTTCCTCCTTTGGCGGGACAATCGTCGTCTTTTGTTTACGCGCCGCGCGGTAGTGTTTGTTTGGTGTGTTGTTCGTTCGTGACGCAGTAGATTTTCGCGGGATTTTGTGCTTTTTCTATATACAGGGATGTTAAAATCGAAAAAAAAGGTTTAAATCAGTGATGGTCCATCGAGTGGAGGCTGCAGGACGGTGTGTTGCGAACCAAAATGGAGGGAGGAGTTTGGAATAGGTGAGAGGGGTGGGGTTTTACGGTGTGTCGTCTCTTTTACGGTGTGTCGTCCCCAAGAGCGGGGAAGCTATTTTTAAGCCGTAATTTCGTTAGGAGCATCCGCCTACGTTGTTTGTTTTCGAAATCGAATCCCTGTGATTTATTTTAAGTCAAACTTTTGATTCCTGTGGCTTGTAATACTTAACAGGGTAGGGAATATTCTTTTGATTAAATACTTACAGTGTGCGGTAATAGTGGGTCGGGTGGGTCGGGAATTTTGTTTAAGTGTAAACCTATATAAAGTATTTCAGGAAAATATTTTAACTTCTATAGGGTGGCTCAAAAAAGTGGATCGGGATGATTTTTTAAATGGAACACCCTGTATATTATTGCATTTTTGGCTTCCTTTACACATATACACGCAGTATTATTTTAGATGGCTCTCTCAACGCTAAAATACGAGAGAAAAATCATTGGGTGGCTTTGATAAAATTTACTATGGAAAATGGCATATGAAATATAAAACCGCCAATATCTGCGAAACTGTTAAAAATGTTGAAATACTCTAAATACAAAAAATGTCCATTTTTTAATTCTCCGTCTATTGAAAAAATAATATACAGGATGATCCATATAAAAAAATGAAGAAAAATTATTTTATGTTTTAGAAAGTTTTCGCTAAAATTTTAAACATCCTGTATGATATACGATTACCATATCTATAGCAAAGTAAGTACAGACCATCTAAAGGAAATATGTAATATAGTTTTGATTTCAGGACAGTTCTTGTATTTTTAATAATTTTTTTAAGTAAAGGCTGAAAAAAATATATTTTTTATTTATTTATTAAACCTCTCTAAAACTATCGAAATATATTTAGTCATATCTTAGGATTATGTAAAGTGATCTGAAAAGAAGCCAAAAATGAAATAATATACAGGGTGTTTTTATGGCATTTAAAAAAGTTTATCCCGATCCACTCACACTTTTTTGAGCCACCCTAGAGAAGTTAAAATACTTTCCTGGAATACATCCTAGAACATACTTTAGATTTGCACTTAATATGCAGATGCCCGACGCACTATTGCTGGATCCTGTATACAGGGTGTTTCAAAACAAATGCGAAAAACTTCAGGGGGTGATTCCTTGTTCAAAATAAAGGGTAGTTTGCTTTATAAACGTTGGGTCAAAAGTCAACCATTAGGGAGATATCGCGGTGCAAAGATGGCGGAAAAATAATGTTTTTATTTTTTATCTTGAAAACGAAAAGAGATAGACTAATGAAATTTTACGGAAGCATTACAGTTATGAAAACACACTTTCTGGTAATTTTTTCCCTTTTTCAAAATGAGTGGAAGGGGTTGAAATAAACTACCCCTATCATTCCTGCTAATGAAATTTAAAGAAAAATCTTATCAAACACATGCAAAAAAAAATAATTTTCATAGTTTAGTTTATTTAGAAACTTTTTTATCTCTTGTATTTTTTTTATAAAACTCACCGATTTGAAATTAAAAAATAAAATGTAAAGCATTACATGTCAAGACTAAAAATATTTTTAGATTAACAATCTAGTGATAATAATGATAATAATAATAATCTAGATAATAACGTATTGCAGTAGGGTAATGGTCAAATAAAACAATATTAGAAACATCCTAAAAAGTGACAGCGGCCGACTAGATTTTTTCCTAAAAAAATTACAGCTGCCCACTAGATTCTTTATCTAAAAATGTTTTTTGTCCTGACATGTAATGCTTTACATTTTATTTTTTAATTTCAAATCGGTGAGTTTTATCAAAAAAACACAAGAGATAAAAAAGTTTCTAAATAAACTAAACTATGAAAATTATTTTTTTTTGCATGTGTTTGATAAGATTTTTCTTTAAATTTCATTAGCAGGAATGATAGGGGTAGTTTATTTCAACCCCTTCCACTCATTTTGAAAAAGGGAAAAAATTACCAGAAAGTGTGTTTTCATAACTGTAATGCTTCCGTAAAATTTCATTAGTCTATCTCTTTTCGTTTTCAAGATAAAAAATAAGAACATTATTTTTCCGCCATCTTTGTACCGCGATATCTCCCTAATGGTTGACTTTTGACCCAACGTTTATGAAGCAAACTATCCTTTATTTTGAACAAGGAATCACCCCCTGAAGTTTTTCGCATTTGTTTTGAAACACCCTGTATATGAGAGGTTCATAACTGAACTGGATCAAGTCCTACAAGATAATTATGGAGAAAATGAGAGTTAAAGCTTTTTAATGTTACTTAATATGTAAATAAATCAAGCTGGAGAAGAAAACTTGACACAATGCTTTATTATATTTTAAATTGTACAATTGCGAATTAAAGTAACTCAAAATACAACAAACTGTGGTCATTTTTAGGATCGTTGTTTATACTTTTTTGGACTTGAACCATTCTATCTCTGAAAATATTTGAAATTTTAGATATAAATTGGTTCATCGGTACATTCTTCTTCGTCATTAAGGGATTTGTTGGCTTCACGTTGTCTATTAATAGTGTTCTCTTCGATTTTTATAAAAATTATATATAAAGGAAAGAAGATCTTTTATGTGTTGCCTTTCAGAGTGTGTTACGTTACGTCTATATGAAATGATAAGATTTTTCTTCCTCGTGCAGTTTTATTCAGACCAATAACATGTCAGATATCTATAAGTTTTTGTAAGAAAAACAGGTTTACTTATTGATGTAGTAATAATGAAAATAATGATAAATCCAACTATACTTTCAGAATCGATAGAATCAGACCTTTCAGATGGCCGATAATTTGATTCACTTGTGGCAAATGGTTCAGACTTTGTTTCATTGTCATACATTTTAACAAAAAAATATTTTTTTAGCTCTAAACTTTAGCACGTGTGTTAAAATCGTGCACAGCGTTAAATTTTATGGACTTGGTCCAGTTTACTTCCTGAAAGGAATAAACAATTATATTCAGAAACCAAACAGAAACAAGCTATAACTGCTTAATGCGTGAAGTATGACTTCATTCGCTTCTCTACTGCAAAAAAAAACAATATTTTATAAACATAAACATATAAAGACTTGATCGATTTTAATTCTGACCACTCCATATATTAATTATTCAAATACGAACAGGATAATAAGAAAACAAAAAATTAAACAATCAGATCGAAAGTTAACTTGGAAATTCGCAACAGAATAATAATAAGCCTGCGACTTAATATAAATCGAGTTAAGTCTTATTAGAGTTAATTTTGAATTCTATGGGCATTTAGTCTTGGTATAATTTTAAAATGTCTAAACCATTTTTTAAAAATGTAGACAAAATATGTTTCTTTACTTCTTCTAATAGGAAATAGGATAATATATGAAGATTAATAAATATAAAATATGTGTAGAAGAAGAGAACAGTGTTCTCTACAGTGTGTGTAAAGTATTATAATAATTATGAACAGTTAAATACGCTTAGATAAAATTACTTATTATTCTATCTGAAGATACTGCCTACTTAGATAAAGATACTGATAAAGACATATTTCTATTGTAACGTGTATTTTAAAAAATAAGTTAATAACGTCACTAATACGATAAAATTAAAAACTTTGTTTTAATTTTAAAAAGTTATCTAGGAGGTTTAGTATAAAAAAAGAGTATCTTTTGCAGAGGTTAGTTCTCCAATTCCAATGTCAGTCGTACCAAAGTTTATAGCACGAATGGTTGTCGTCTCGGTGCACTCAGTCGTTTTGGTGTTTTCCCATTTTCCCTACAGACTCTGCATTTGCTGTTGTTTCTTAGCTTCAGTCTACTGAGGTGTTCGTTGAGGAGACAATGTTCTGTTAAAAACCCCGTGACAATCCGAAGATTGTTCTTGTTGAAATCAATAAAAATCTTTGATTTTTATCGGTAGTAAGTTTTAAGATTCTTCGTATGTCTTGAACCGTTGGAAGATTCCTATTCCCAGGTTACGGATGGAGAAAAAGAGAGAAAAAAAAACACAAATCAAAACAAAAACACTTATCTCTTTCTTAGAGTTATCTGTAAAAAAATTAATATATTTTAATTTGATTATTTCTTTTGTTGCTTTCTTCAATATTTTTTAACATTGTTAACAAGTTTAGTTAAGTACTAAAACATAAGTTAGAAGCACAAATAACGGAATCGGAAGAGCAAAATGGTTTTAGACCGGGACGCTCATGTACTGATGGCATTTTCACTCTTAAGCATCTAATCGAAAACAGGCTAGAAAGGGGAAGGACGGTCCACTTGACATTTATTGATCTACAGAAGATACAGTCCCACTGAGTAAGTTGTGGGTGTCAATGCAAAAATTTGGTATCAGTAGTTGGTATGTCCAAGCAACAAGAAAATTATACGAGGGTTGCAGTAGCACAGTTAAACTTGGAAACAATATTTTCCAAGAATTTCTTGTGAATAAGGGCTTAAGACAAGGGTGTTCATTAGCACCAACTTTATTTAAAGTATATTTGGAGGAAGTACTGAAGTGTTGGAAGATGAAATGCCGTGGAATGGGAATCCCAGTAGGAAAAGACACTTTATATACCTTACTCTTTACCGACAACCAGGTCTTGATAGCGGGAGACAGAGACGACTCCAGTTATATGTTTAGAAAACGCATGAGGAATATTCGAAATGGGGCCTAACAATAAACACAAAGAAGACGGAGTACATGGTAGTGGGTGATGACGAACGTGAGGATTTGGATGTAGGAATCGGCACAATTAAAAATGTCTGTACATTTAAATACTTGGGCGTCACTTTTACAACAAATGGAAAAAGCACTCAAGATATTGCAAATAAAGTTGGTCAAGGAAAAAGAGTTATCGGTCAACTTAACTCGTTGTTGTGGAGTGACAAAATTTCCCAAAAAACAAAAATTCTACTTTATAAAGCCATTGTAGAGAGCATTACCACTTATGGCGCTGAAACGTGGGAGCTAAACAAAGTAGAGAAAAATAAGTTGCTGTCTCTTGAAATGGATTTTTGGCGAAGAAGTTGTCGCATTTCAAGAC